TATATAATATTATTATATAAATAATATATGTAATAATTAATATATAAAAAGTTATATAATTTTTTTTTTCGAGCCAAACACGAGCGAACAAACTGTTGTTCGTGTTCGGCTCGATTACATTTCAAGCTTAAAAATTTGTTTGTGTTCGGCTCGTTAGGCTTAACGAACGAGTCGAACACGAGCTGTTCACGAACAACGAGCCAAATTGACAGTCCTAATGCTGAGCCCTCAGTTGAGAAAAAAGTTAGTGCCTTAGAACTTAATCACTTCAGGTGAAGCGCAGAGCTACAGGGTTAGTTGGGATGAAAAACCTATCCAATTTGACTATTTAAAATTATATTTGACTTTTTTAATTTAATAGCATTATTAATCTAACACTATTATTGTCAGTCCCAAGACTGAGTGTAAAAAGTAGAGGGTTATGTTAGAAAGTCGACAACCAGCGTAAAACTTGTTGAGAAAACAATAACATTATTAATATGTTTCGATATTTAGAAGAATGTTTATGTAAAACTATTTACATTACTTCTGTATTAAAGAAAAATTTTGGCTAAAATATTTATAAATTACTTATAAAGTTATATTGTGCACATTTATATCAGAGTTCTATATTATACCAAAGTATTCCTAGATGTGTTTCTATGCTCAATTAGGATCCCTTACTTCCTGAGATGTGTCACTACTCCCTCCTTATTTCTCACACTGATTTTATTAGGTCCACAAAGCTTAATGAGAAAAATTGATGTACATTTATAGCATGAGAAATGGGTGTGATCATTTATGATATTTCTATAAGATGGGGCTTTTAGATAAATGTTGCATTGATATAGATAATTAGTGATTTTCTTAGTCATTTATACATGTCATATGATGTCATTGAAGTTAAAGTAAATAGAAGATATATCAAATTTCAACCATTCTATCTAGCACATCAAATGAGTCAAAGATATTAGCTTATATATCCAGATAGAGCAAAAGTGAGTAGATTTGGTAGTAGTCATCAAGACTGAATCTAGAACGGCTATTGAGATTCAAAGTATTGTTGTACTCACTCATCAGGGTTAAAATATGTCAGTTTTTTCATTTCAAATGATTTTGTTAAGCAAGTGGTAACTTTAGAGATTGTTAGTGGTGCTATGAAGAGGTTTGTCGTATTAAGGATGAGTCTGATAATGATATAAATGAACAAATTTTAAGTTTAATATCTAGTCCCATATGTGATGGACTAGAATAAGATGTATATGTAGTTTTCACTTGCTTTCTATTTTTACTTCTTGC